ATCCTGTCTTCACTTTTTATCCTTTATCTCCATGCTAAAAAAAGTGTTAAAGACATAGTCGAGCCTTTAAATACTACATTAATAAATTCTGTTATGGCAGTAGGTAATAAAAATAATTATCAATCACAACAATAATAGGTAACATTTACAAAGTCCTGACTCTGTGCTGGGCCCTTTCCTGAATGCTTTGTACATGAATGAAGACGATCAACTCTCTTACTATCCTCATTTTACAGATGATGAAATGGAAGCTCAGGTTAAGAGCTTGCCTGAGGTCACGCAGCTAGGAAATAGCAGAGGCAGGATTTGCATGTAGGCACCTGAGAGTCACGTTCGTAACTACTCTGGGCTGCATCTCAGCTAGGAGATGTCCATTACAAGGCCACCCTGTGTGAAGACAAGAAGATTGGTTTATTACACATTTCTGTTTTATTTCAAGGGACTTCTTGAAATTCCGCCAAAGGCTTTGGTAGGCAGTACTACTTGCTAAATAATAACCACTAGTATGCATATTGCACTTGATGGTTGGCAGAGCGGCTTCATGCACTGTTTCTCATCTGACCCCTGCAACAATGTGATGAGGTGGCCACTTCAGTCTCATCTCATAGAAGAGGAATCTGAGGCTCTGAGCGGTTAAACGAACAAGGTCAAGGTCACCCACCCAGTGAGGAGCAGAGCAAGGGCTCAAGTTAACATCTATCACTTGAAAAAAATTAAGATCTGAGTGTTTTCAAACATAAGACTCTTCCATGTCACTTAAAAGTAAGTAAGCTAATCCACGGAAAAGCACTCGGCACAGTGCGTGGAACCAGGTAGGACCCTCATAAATGTGAATTATCATCATCTTCATCAACACCTCCTAGGAACTGGAATATTTTAAGCAGATGACTGCAGCCGTTCTGTTGAGCCTGATGGAAAGATTACCCTTTTCATTCTAGTTCATCCCTGGTAATGTTGAAATAATGATCAATCTCCATTATCCCTGGGGAACCATAGAATGTTAAGAGCTGGAAAGGGTTGTGGAGATGAGCTCATTCGGCTCCTGCATTCACAGATGGAGAAATTGAGTCCTAGAGAGGGAAGAGGTCAGAGGGCAAACTTCTCCAGGGTAGGGCTCCTGCATTGTGCCTGGCACATACTGCCCCCCCCCCCACGAAGGTGGGCCGTTACCTAAAGGGCATCTAGCTTTTTAAAGGCTACAGGAGATAATTCATTAGTGTCTGAGCTTTGAGCGCTCCCACCCCTCCCCCACACAAAGTACCAAAGTGTTATAAGATATTAACCAGAAAACCGGTCATGTGACTTAATTCCACCTCTGCTTAAAACGCTTTGGTGAGTAGTCTGAGATTCATAAATATACACTTCAACTCTTTCTCAAAGAATTATTAACCAGCTCCATCAAAACTGGAACTTGAGCAATCATGGAGAAAAAGAGCTGGCAAGAGAAACATCTTGAATAAAATCTCGCCACCAGTATATATGACTTCTTGGCACCTCTTTTTTTTTCTTTCTACAAGTTGGAGGAGGAAGGAAAGAAAGAGGTATTATTGTATAAGACATGAATCAATAAAACTAATCGTGGAAAATTACAGCCCCTTTCCACCTCACAAGATGGATTCCAAATGAACGTAACAGTCATGTTAAGTTGTAGAACTTGAAGACAGAAGCATTGGAAAGGGGGGGATGCGGCACAGAGGTCACCCTCACTGGCTTTTTCAGAGGGTGGAAACAGGCTGGAAGAACCTGACAGTGTGGGGGCGTGATAATCAGGGGTAGCCCATTCCCGACTAATGATTTTGAGAACCTATAATTTATCGAGTCCGTGTCATACTCACCTTCCTTATCTCACCGAGGCCCTGGGGACTCATTCTCCCGGGCATAGGACTAGCTCTTCATTCCACACTAAGGCCTTGATCAGCTTTGGCTTGAGGATTTGGGGGTGGGGAGGAATGACTGAGAGAAATGGGATTAGGGTTCAGCCTGGGGACTAAAGAAACAGAAATATAAACCCTCCTCTGCTGTGGCTCTGGGCTTCCTGCTTCTCAAGTGCGGCTGAGATTCAGGCCCTTCCAACAAACCTGAGGCCGCGACAGCTCTCTGAATGAAAAGGTCCCCCTCCCCCACAACACCTTTATCAAATTCAAACTATTTTCCACATTCCTTCCTTACACAGCTCAGGCGCACCTGTGACGCAGGGCTCAGGGCAAATTCCACTCAGGAGAGCCAGGAAGCCCCGGCCTGGCCCTCCCTTCTAGAAAGGAAAGTCCAAGAGGGATACCACACCCGGAGGAGGGGAGAGAGGACATGACAATACCTCCAGGAATGCAGGGCCCACGCAGGTATGTTGGCACCCATGCACTTCCTCTTGAAAAGGGCCTGGTATGGATAACAGTAATAAAGCTCAACCACACCATACTTGCTCCCCCTGAACCGGGGCCCCGGCTTCCAGGGCATGGCCCCGGCAGTTGGGGAGTGGAGGGTCACCGCTGAGAATAAAGATTCCCAAAGGCTGTGACATGTTTTCTCCTCAGCGGTTCTTCAAGGGGGGGCCCTGGGTGTCCCTGAGACCTTTTGAGGGGATTCTCAAAGCTCAAACCATTTCACAGTATTGACATGTCACTTGTTCTTCTCACCCTCGTTGTCTCACAGGTATCCAGTGGTGTTTTCCAGAAGGGGCATGACATGTGATGAAGTCACCCTGATGACTCCTGGAATGTGTGCTTGTGTGTTCTTGTGTTTAAACATTCTCGGTTTTAAATAATGCAATATATGTTAAGAAAAAAAAAGATAGCAGGAGGGGAAGAATGAAGGGGGGGGAATTCGGAGGGGGAGACGAACCATGAGAGACGATGGACTCTGAGAAACAAACTGGGGGTTCTAGAGGGGAGGGGGGTAGGGGGATGGGCTAGCCTGGTGATGGGTATTAACGAGGGCACGTCCTGCGTGGAGCACTGGGTGTTATGCACAAACAATGAATCATGGAACACTACATCAAAAACTAATGATGTAATGTATGGTGATTAACATAACAATAAAAAAATTTTTAAAAAAGACAAAAACAAGGAAAAAAACATTCTCAGTTTTAATTCTCATACACTGAATGTTAAAAGACAACACATAAACAAAATACTTGGGGGCCCTCCATAATTTTTAAGGGCCTTAAGTGGTCTTGAGACCAAACTGTGGAGCTACCCCATCACAACACCACACTTCATGTCCAGCAGAGCTTGAGTCACATAGCAGGCGCTTTTGAACAGGGGGTGGAGGCCACAGCCTTATTCAGCTTGGGATGGAGTCCTTTCCATCTGTACTTCCACCCAAAATGGCCAGAAAAACCTTAAATTCCCCCACAAACACTTAGTGAACTGAAACCCTCCCCCCACCCACCCACCCCGGGGAAAGATGGACTTCTCACCTTTGAGCCCAGGTGGGGCAAAGTTAACATGAAGAAACCACACTCCCTCAGCACGAGCACCGGGCAAAGCCGTATCTGAGTACCTGCTAGGAGTCAGGTACCACGCTACCCGCTCAGAAGTGAGTTGTAGTCCCTGCGTCCTCAGTGCTTTCGTTCTAGGGTGGAGGGCAGATGACTCCAAAAAAATGACAAAACTGAAACTTGTCGCACAAGTGCTGGGAAGGATGTACAAGGCGTCAGGAGGGATTTGAGGTAGGCGGATGAGGGGAAGGAAGGCTCTGAGGATTCAGGTGGAATGAAGCGCCCTAACCAATTCCTCCCGGCCATCTCAGACATCCCTCCAGCCCCCTCAAACCCAGGTCAGCTCAGAGGAGGGGTCAAGTGGGTCCTTCTAGGTGGGTGGGGGGACTTGAGGGTCTCCTCCCCACTCCACCCCCCCAACCCCGGCATGGCCAGTGCTAAACAGCTTCCCCGTTAGGAGAAACCTGACTCTGGGGCATTTAGAGCAAAGGGCTCAGTCTTGATAAATCAAGGACACAACTCTTATCACTACACTCGGAGAACGTTATCCAGAGGCTGCTGTTGGTGGAAACAGCAATCAGCCAAGAAATGGCTAAAGGAGGGAGAGGAAGACTCCAGAGGTTAAAAATAAATACAAAATAAGCAAAGAAAAAAGAAAGCCCGGGCGGGCCGGTCTAGAAGTCCTCAGGGAAGCCGGAGCTGAGGGGAGCCATCCTGGGCCTCAGCTCACTTTCCCTCCCCACTCGCGGCGCCCTCTCGACCTCCCAGGACCTGACGGATTGCAGAAAAATCTCTACGGACAAAACCGAGCCTGAAGAGCCCTGATGTTCTCCCCTAGTAACTGCTGCAGAGGCGGGAAAACTTTATTTTGCAAACAGAGTTGCAGCCGGACGCCTAAACGATCCAACTGGGTGGCGGAGGGGCGTTGCTGCACGCTGCAGCACCCCAAAGTGAACGTGGGGTGGGGGGCGCCGGGAACCGCACATATCCACCGCGCTTCTACGACCAGCGGGACTGCGCGACCCAACCCCAGCCGGGCGCGTTCTCGCCGGGACGGGCCGTCAGGCGCGTGCCTGCGCTTGCGCAAAAGGCACCCGCCCCAGCTCCTCTCCAGGTGCGCTCGCGCTTCCGGCCGGCCTTTCCAAGGCGGAAACACCAGAGCCCGCGCATGCGCTATCCAGCTCTCCTGCTAGATCCAGGGAGGGGGCCCAAGGCTTCAGGTGATCCCACCCCTCCCTCGCAGCGCGGAGCCAATCGCACGGCGGTGGGCGGGATTTCTGAGAAGGCGATCCGCCCACGCGCTTCGCGAAGCGTGTATCGATTGGTTGGCGACGCTGGCGCAGGTGCGCGCTTCCTATTGGGTGGGGCGGGGCGCGAGCCGCCGAGGCTTCGGCGGAGGCTGCAGGTGAGCGCGCGCGCGCGCCGCGGCTCCCGCCCGGCTCGGGTGCGCGCGCGCGGGCTTGCGGGGGAGGCGGCCGAGAGCGAGATTGCGGCGCCTGTCGCCTCTGCTCCGCCCCCTCCTCCTCCTCCGCCGTCGCGGCCGCCGCCGAGGCCCGGAGGGAGGGAGTCGCGTCCCCGCCCGCCGCGCAGCCAGTCCGACCCTCGGTCCCGCTGCGTGAGGAGTCAGCCGCGCGGAGCTCTGCGCGGAACCCCGAGCCCCGGCCGAGCCCCTCTGCAGGTGCCTGTGAGGAGGCGCCCGGGCCGCAGCCGCGTCTCCAACCCGCCGGCCGCGCACTCGCTCCCTGCGCTCCCGAGGGGCGGCCCGGCCGGAGGAGGCCGCTGCGGGGCCCGGCCTCAGCATGAACCGCAGCCACCGGCACGGGGCGGGCAGCGGCTGCCTGGGCACCATGGAGGTGAAGAGCAAGGTGCGCGGGGCCGGTGCTGGGCGGAGCGGCCGGCTGATGGGGGCCGGGCCTGGGGGAGGCCGGGGGGCTGCCCGGGTGTCTGCAACGCGGCGGGGGGGTTCGGCAGCGGGGTTTGGAGACAGGAGGTGGTGGATAGTAAACTGGCCGAGAAGGGGGCGAAGGAGGGGCCTTGTGTTTGTTCCTGGCCCAGGTGGGAAGACCAGTGGAGCACTTAATCTCCTTGAATCTTCATTGCTGTTCAGGGATGGGAGGCGTCTGAGCGCAGTGTGGTACGAAAGCTTTGGGGGAAATTCTAGCTCCTGGTCTATGAGTAAAAGGTATTTGGAACACGCGTGGTCACAAAATGTTACCCCTTTCTGTGGTTCAAGGGTGCATCGAGTGGTGAAAGGGAGAGGCCAGTGCACTAAAGAGCCCTTTTAAAGTTAGCTTTGCTTCCTGCTGGGGATTTCTTCGGCACTAACTTTGGTATGCGTTTAATCTGTAAAATTAACACTATCACCCTTCGTTTGAGTAGCCCTTTACAGTTTGAGGCTGGATGCTCTTTTCATTCCATCGTGCTCCCTTTTCACGTCAAGTGTTTTCCTTCTTCACCGACGGTATGCCAGTCTGCTGAATTCTGGCCGTATCCGCTGAATTCCTAAATTGCAAGGCTCCCTGAGCAGGGTAGTCTATAGGGATTAGGTAAAGAATGTTTTCGGAAGGGGGTTTTGAGTGGAATTTGAAGGTGATCGGCAACCACGGCAACATTTTCAGCAAGCAGTTCATGAGTTGAAGAGCCAAAGGAGTTTAGATCTAATTTGCTTCTCTGGAAAATGGAGGGATCAGAAAGGGCTCGCCAGGCTCTGCTTTTATGACAAAACCTGGAAGCCTTCTTACAGAATAACGTCTAGACTCTATAGAATAAAACTGTTTTTGAGAACACTTAACATAGTTAAGAAAACCAAAACACATGCAAGAATGGGAGAACAGTACGAGCATATCAACTTCAAAAATGATGAAACATCATTGAATATAAGACTATTTAGGGCAAATCCAAATCAGGGAGTGGTTTTGAGTGAAGTAGAGTAAGGAGAGCTCCCTGGAGCCTGTGGGTGGAATGGCTTTATTATCTAGACTTGATAAGCAAAGTTCTGTAAGCTGCTGTAGCTGAGGTCTTCGGCTCAGGAATATCTACATTCATTTTGGGAAGCATCATTTAAATGGTTTGTGACTTCGCATCAGGGTAGGGAGTAGTTCCACAGAAACCGTTCTGTTTTAATAAGAATAGAAATGTAATTATAGCAATTTAAGGAATGTGCTCTTCCCTGTGTCCTCCATGGAACTGCCAGAGCAGACGGAAGAGATGTGCTTGAGCTGAGGGTTAAGATGACTCCAAATATACAGGGTTTTCCCTCGAGCAGTATAGCGGCGGTAGTGGTTCTGTGCCCAGTGGTTGAACTTTCTCAGGCATTTCTGTCATAAATCTAGTTTGCGTCTGTGGGGGTTGAGGTTAAGAAAAGAAAAACACTTAGGATATTGCATAATCTTAAAATTCAGTTTGTGGTCCTAATCTTGGTAGCAAGTCTTTAAGTCATCATAGGAAAACGTGAGTAGAGATTCTAGGTGCACTGATAAATACAATCAAACAGTAATTTATCTCCTGAACTAGAAACCTCGAGCACTCTGGGACTGGAATTTCAGGCTTTCTGCCCCTTCTCTTCTGTCAGCTGATACTACATGTTATATATTTGAGCTGCCGTGCTGCAGTTGTAAATAGAATCAAGGCATTCTGAGAACCTGCACTGAATGAAGTGTGGTTCCTCTGTTCTCGATGTTGGTGAATAGACACAATATTAGGTACTGTTTTTTGTGTCTGTGACACCTTGTGTTTTAAATAGATATTGTTGACAACATTTATTTTTAGTGGATTAAACAAAACACTTGTCATCTTTATCATTTAAAAAGTACTTGGACAGATGTTTCAAACAATATTTCCCTTTGTCAGCTGCCTTGGAAATATCACAGCTTTTTACAAAACTGATGGTCAAGAGGTTGTAACCACAAGCAGGTGATACGCAGATCCACATTTCAGGATCTCTTTTTCTTCTGCATGGAAAACAGGGTCAGCTGTATTATCTGAGCAGAGCTGGGAAAGTTCTTAATAATGAAGGGTGGTATCCTTTAATAACCTTGGAACAGTCTTTGGGCTGTACATTTTCTAATTATTATTCATGGGCATTACAGTAGTAAAATTAACTTTGCGGTTTCTTGAATGTACCAACAGATGCTGGGAGAAGGGTATCCGTTGTCCCAGCAGATCCTGGGAGAACAGACACATCCTGGGTGCCCAAGACAACTAGACTGGCCTTCGTAAGAGTTATAAGTGGTTCACGTAGTGAATAGTTGTTGACTGGGTCTTAATTTTATCTCTTAGTATTTTTCTTCACGTGTAGTAAAACGTTCTCCTAATCCTATTGTTTTTCTGCAAGAAGCATAACAGTTTCTCTTGTTTGATTTTGTTTTCTGCTAACATTTGCAAAAGGGCACATCTGCTGTGAGGCCACACAGTTTTTCATTGTTTTTATCATAACACTTAAGGAAGAGAAAAACATGTTGAGCAAAGGATTTTCACCCAAAAGCTTTAGCAGTCACGTTGGAGCCCTAAAATGTTCCAGTGTTAGATGGTACTCTGATTGACATACCTGGAGAAGTGGTAAACCCCTGGCGGGAATCCAAGCACTAGGAGCTTCAGGTTGTGATACCGGAAAGAAGAACATGGAGGAGAAGCTGTGACTTTTGATAACATCATAAGATTAGCTCTGATGTGAAGGGTGTTGCCGAGTTTTTATTTACTTTGAAATGTGAAGGTGTGACTAAACTTTTTTGAGAGTTTTAGGTATGAGTCACCTTATATTCTTGACAATTGTTGTTGTTTATGTTTCAGGAATGGGTTACGGGAAACTCCTATTGAGGTGGTTTTAGTGAATTTTTAATTTTAATACTGATGAGTAGTGTGGGTATCAGTAAGGCAGATGAACTTCTGCTGTGTAACAGATGCAGTGACTCCAGATATTCGTAGGTCCTTGGGAAGAGAAACTGACACATTTGTAACCTGCTCAAATTACTCTGGTGGGGACTTTGTCTGCTTGATGCTTAAGGCTGTGTTAGTATTACATTAGAATACATTAGTATTTCTTGTTAATAGTAGATATTTAGAGGAAAAATGAGTTCAGTGGTTGAGCACATTTGGCAAGCATTTGTTTAAAATTAAAAAAAAAAATCAACTGGAGGACTGAACTGAGTCTTTAATATCTGGTCTCACAGTGATTCCTAAGAATGTGATTATAGTTTTGTAGCATTTCCTAAATGTGGCTGGGACACTTTCTGAGGAAGGTTGATTAACCTTACCTAGGTTTCCACCTGGAGGAAATGCCACGCTGGGCCCATAGTAAGTCATAGATCCTGTTTATCAGGGACCAGATGAAGCCAGTCCTGAGTGCCACTTTAATAATCTGACATTTGGAGAGCAGAGGTGTGATTCTAGAGGAGGAATCAGAACGGGGCATGATAGAGGTGTTTCTGTGGCCCCTTAATGCCTCTCTGATGTCTTTGTCCTCTTCACCTACTCATGGGTGAGCTCCTGCTGTGGGCCTGAGCCTTTCCGTCTGTAGGGCTCAGGCACTGTGCCAAGCACACAAACACTTCTTGCATTAATTGGATGGTTGTAGGATGTGTATTTTAGGTATTAACAAAGGTTTTTTCCAGCATTCATAGGGAAGATGCTCCTTATCTCTAGACCTATTTCTTAGATGATCTACCTCCCATTTGTAGTGTGCCTTAATGCAAAGAAGCTCAGAGTCCCTTTTTTATATGTTGCTATTAATTCTTGCCACTTCTGTGAAATCATAATTCCTTTTATGGGGGAAGAAACTCAGGTGCTTTTTGCTAATGGCCACAATAAAGACTTGGGCACATCTTTTTTACCCCATGGCCTGAGGTGGCAGAGGACTGCTGTCAGGATCTCGGCTCCAGACAGGGTTTGAGCTGAGTCACTGCAGGGCAGTCCCCAGTGAGGCCTGGGAACCCCAGGGATTGAGTGGAGCCTGCATCCCTTGAAGGGAATGCCCTTCCGAGATGTAGCAGTGAGAAGGCACATTCCTGTGTCTCTCTTACGCTGTTTTATCTCCGATAATGAGATTTCCGACAATAGACTTGTGTCACTGCAACTGTCTTTTTTATTAAGGGAAGGACTACGCCTGTTAATTTTCCTGTGGAGTGCATTTTCAGATTGGGTCCTGTTACTTTTGTTTTGTTTTTAATTAATATGTTCATTGTATTTGTAGTTTGGAGCTGAATTTCGTCGGTTTTCCCTGGAAAGATCAAAACCTGGAAAATTTGAGGAGTTCTATGGATTACTGCAACATGTTCATAAGATACCCAATGTTGACGTTTTAGTAGGCTATGCAGACATCCATGGAGACTTACTCCCTATAAATAATGATGATAATTACCACAAAGCTGTTTCAACGGCCAATCCACTGCTTAGGATTTTTATACAAAAAAAGGGTAAGTACCACTATGTGGAAAAATTGTTTTAGAAATAAAAGTAGTTTATTTTCCTCATTGCTAAGATTATGCATTGAATCCTCACTTTGCTGAATAGAGTTTTGTCCATCAGAAATGTAGGACAGAAAGACTGTGACTTTGGAATCAGAGACTTAAGATTCTCGTTTTTTTGTGGCAACTGACTTTCAAGTGCCATATTTACTACTTAATAACTACCTGAAGGAGAGTTAACTTATTTAGAATGTTTCACAGAAATAAAAATAGTTAATTATCTGGAAGATTAGATGGCAGGTCATTATTGTGGAGGAATTTAAACACTGATACTAGTCTTGCAAAAGAACATTTGAAATAACCATCCTATATGGCAAGCATTTTCAAATGTGTTTTGAATTTTAAAACTTTTTTTTTTTTTTTAAACTTTATGGCCTCCTCCATGTTGCCTGTCTGCACATGGGCCTAATGTGTGCCATTTATTTCTTTGTCTTTGGTAAATGAAGAGGTTTAGAAAGCCAGCATGAGGGCAGCAAGCTCAGTATTGGTGGGATAATGAAAGCCTTAACTACATTTATAAACCAACCCAGAAAGCAATTTTGAGAGTGGGTAGGGATTACCCTTGAAGGTGAAACTTTATTTCCAATCGGTTGATAAACCTTAGACCACTCCCAGAGCTTTGAAATTCCACTGATTATATAGCTTTGCTTTTCTGGGTTTGGAGGAACTAAAGTCCACCAACAAAAATAAACCTCCAAGGGTAACATGTCCATATCACTTGATTATTCATAGAATACTTAGAAACACACAAATTGATTTTCCCAGAGACCCCTGAGGTGGATTTCATAGATATGTCACAGTGGCGTGGTACAATGAGAGTGTTAATCTGGGGAGATTAATTTGACTGTTGGGGATGAGTTGGAGTGAGCAGTGGTCTTAGAGGAGAGGGCCAGGACCCGGCGGTGAGGGGAAGCTGCCCCAGTGGAGGAGGCAGGTGACGAAAGTGGCAGTGTTAGATAAAGAGGGCATATCTGATGTTGGAGACTCGCTGCGCTCCCCTCTGGGTGGTGGGGAGTTGAAGAGGGACTCCCAACAGAGAACAACTTTCTGGGTTCGAGTCTGATGGCTGGGACAGTGCCATAAACAAGCAGAATTTGGAAGAGGGACATTAGCATGGAAAGGAAATGGGTTTGGTTTTAGGATATTTGGCTGGTGAGTTTTAACCATGCCACCTAGGAAACTAGAAATGGTAGACAGGAACTTTGGATCAAAATCTAGAGGCCCAGTCAGAGAAGATTGAAAGTCTGTGGAATAGTGAATAGTTGAGAAATTCTCTGGAGGAGACCTAAGGCCGCGTAGGGATGAAGACCAGGGATGGACCCTTGGGAAGCTGTGTACAGACTTTTGGAGACAAAAGAACATTGGTAGAGGAGAGAAGACAAAGCATTCATGTGGAACTTGTCACTTTAAGCATATAATATCAATAATTATTGATGAGTAGGCCTTTCTTAGCAGTTGTAATTTTCATTAAAAACTTTGTTGCTGTTTGGAATGTGTATTCAAGTGTGGAGTGACTATTTTTAAACTGCTGTTGTTGGATTATCTTTTTTGTTAGATGATAGAAGTTGATTATACCACTACATGTTTTTATTTATTACTGGCTTTATAACACTTCATGATTGTGGGATTAACCCTCACATCTGTTAAGGGTGGTTATATTCTGTTCTTTGCTTTTGAATATGTTTATATGTGAACAGAAGTTTTCTATGTCCTAGAAAATAAATGTCCAATATAGTAAACAGCCCTTAGAATTTGATTTAGAAAGGGGTACCTGGGTGGTTCAGTTAAGTGTCCAATTCTTGGTTTTTGTTCAGGTCATGACCTCACGGTTGTGAGATCAGGCCCTAGCCCTGGGTCAGCTCCGCACAGGGCGTGGTGAGCCTGCTTAGGATTCTCTCTCCCCTGCCCCTGCCCCTCCCCCTATCTTAAAAAAAAAAGTTTTATTTAGAAATAGGCAGTACATTCAACAGAACATTTCTGTTTTTACAAATACAAATGTAGGGGCACCTGGGTGGCTGTCAGTTAAACGTCTGCCTTCAGCTCAGGTCATGATCTCGGGGCCCTGGGATCAAGCCCACAAAGGGCTCCCTGCTCAGCAGGGAACCTGCTTCTCCCTCTCCCTCTGCCCTTCCCCCCCCCCACGTGCGTGCGTGCGTGTGTGTGTGTGTGTGTGTGTGTGTGTGTGTCTTTCTCTCAAATAAGTGAATAAAATCTTTAAAAATATATATAAACGTATAGGCGCCTGGGTGGCTCAGTCAGTCGAGCATCTGCCTTGGCTTGGGTCATGATCTTGGGGTCCTGGGATCGAGCCCCACGTTGGGCTCCCTGCTCAGCAGGGAGTCTGCTTCTCCCTCTCCCTCTGCTCCTTCCCCTGCTTTTCTTTAAGATTTTATTTACGAGAGAGAGCACGAGGCAGGGAGAGGGGGCAGCCGACTCCCTGCTCGCAGGGAGCCTAACCTGGGGCTCAGTCTCAAGTAACTAGGATCGTGACCTGAGCGGAAGGCAGATGCTTAACCGAGCCATCTAGGTGCCCTAAAATCTTTTAAAAAAATAAAAATAGGGACGCCTGGGTGGCTCAGTCGATTAAGCATCTGCCTTCGGCTCAGGTCATGATCCCAGGGTCCTGGGATCGAGTCCCGCATCGGGCTCCCTGCTCATCAGGGAGCCTGCTTTTCCCTCTGCCTGCAGCTCCCCCTGCTTGTACCGCTGCTCACTCTCTCTCGCCCACGCTCTCTCTCTCTAACAAATAAATAAGTAAAATCTTTTATAAAAAAATAAAAATATAAATGTAATACAAATATGACTTAAGGAAAGCGTAAAAGTAAGCTGGTCAGGTCACTGCTGTCTAATGCCCTCCCCCTCCCCCATCCAGAATAAAATCCTCCCTGCTTTGGACTTCACAACCTCACCCTTCTCTGTTCCCCCACTCCCCAGTCATAGTCTACCGCGCTGGCTCGCTTTCTGTCCTCAGACTCGGAGAATGTTGCTGTCTTTCTTCGCGATCCTCCCCCCAGCTCCCTCCTCATCCTTCAGATCTTATCACACAGAAATAACTTCCTCAGAAGGGGTCTCTTTGGCCCACCCTAGCCAAAGCCCTTTGACCCGCCCACCTTTATCAGCCCTGGAATTACCTTATGTAAGTGTGAGTTATCTTGTTTATTGTCTCTCTTAACAGACTTCCGGGGTGCCCTGTGATTCACAGTGATACTTTTCAAGCTCAACTGATGCTTGAGCAGAAAGCTGATTTTAGGTAAACTTTAGTGGACATTAAATTCAGGAAAGTAATATAAAGCATGACATTATAGTAACATTTTACTGTTTAATTACAGTACACTTTGTTTTCTTGGCTTGTTGATTCCAGTTTAGGAATCAGTAGGGCAGCAATTAATCTTACATGGTACCAAGTGATTTTAAAAAACAAAACTTTAAAATCATTTTAAATTTTAAAATCTTGTGGTCTTTTAAAAATCTGATACGTCTAATAGAAGTTTCTTTGAAGTGAAAGTTCACAGTTGAATGCATACATTATATAGTGTGAACTCAAAGATTGTATCATTGCATATCTTGAAAGGTTTTATGTCTTACAGTAATTTATTGTTAGAAGAAAAACCCCATACTCAAGGGCTATTATCACAGAAGCAGAAACCAAAGAAAACAAAATCCCTGCTATCTGAAAAGTTAGGTTCACAAAGAGGATTCCCAGATCTTTTGCCAACCCCCATCCCCTCTTGGAGTTTAGAGGCTTCCCAGCCAGTCGTGAAGGGCAGCCAAGTCTGGGATCCGTGGAGGTGCATGGACTCCTCACCAGATCTGATCAGAATACCCGCACCACAACTTCTTGTTGTGTTACCTACCATCTGTTTCTGTATGACATCAGACAAATGCATTCCCATCTTGGATTTATTAGAAAGAGTTTGTTGGAAACCCTGGAAGGGCCTTGCTTGCTTTACACGTTGTTGTACTTGAGACACGGCCTGTGGCCCAGACACTCTGCAGGCACCTCAGTCCTTGGAACTGGGCAGTGGACATTAGTTTGTAGGTGTACTTGAAGATTACTTTTTAATGAAGCCGGGTTTGATTTAGAAATGCTCTAAGAGGGGCGCCTGGGTGGCTTAGTTGTTAAGCATCTGCCTTCGGCTCAGGTCATGATCCCAGGGTTCTTGGATCGAGCCCCGCATCCGGCTCCCTGCTCCACAGGAAGCCTGCTTCTCCCTCTCCCACTGCTTGTGTTCCCTCTCTCGCTGTGTCTCTCTCTGTCAAATAAATAAAATTAAAAAAAAAAAAAACTGCTCTAAGAGATGCATCGTAATTGTCAGTTGAATTTTGAAGAAGAGCATATGATACCCAGTCGCTCACGACAGAAACCTGGGTGTCACCTGTGACACATACCTGTTGTTCAGTCAATCACCAGCCTCTTGGAACAGTTCTAATTATTTTTTGGATTTGTTTCCCCATCAGCACTGCCTTTTCTCCAGGCCAGGCACCATCCAGAATGACCTCAGTAACCCCCAGTCATCTCCCTCAGGGTCACTCTCCAGCTTACAGTCAGGGTGAGCTTAATAGAAAAACCCAAATCTTTAGTTTTCTTCCACATTGCCCTTAGGCTAAAGTCCATAATCCCTAGCACCCCCACCCCCCCAGGCCCTGTTTGTCTGCATGGCCCCTGGCTGCCTCTAACTAGGCTCTTGGCTCCTCCTCTCCTCTCCCCTCCCTCTCTCCCTAGTGGATTTCTTCGTCTACCCCAACCTGCCCTCCTCTGTATTTGTTGGACCCTGTGCCGGGAACATTCTTCCCTCCCTTCTACCTGATTAGCTACTGGCTTCTTTTCCAGTCAGCACAAACCTCACTTCCCCTGGAAAAGCCTTGCCTTACCCTGCAAGCGGCTAGGCTCCCACAGTGCAGTGTATCTACACCACGCTTCCTTGGCCCCTTTGTAATAATTTGATTGCAAGTGTTAATTGCCATCTCCTCTTGTAGACTGTAAGCACCATGAAAGCAAGCACCCTGCTTATCTCTCTTCACTGCATCCGCAGCACAGGACACAAGGCCTGGCCCAGTTGCAGTGCTTCTGAAATGTTTGGTGGTTGGTTTTTCTTATATTAGGAAGTAAAGGGATTTGCATACTTTGAATATTGCTTTAGGTGATGTTTAATCCTCTTTGAAGTTGCCAGATTTAGTTCATTTAACTATTTTGGATTAGAACGGGTTTGCAAACAAGGCTTGCTGGCTGTTTTTGTAAATAAAGTTTTCTTGGAACACAGCCCTGCTCGTTCCTTTCTGTATCACCTATCGGCTGGATGACCTGCTGTACCCAGAGTACTTACCATACAGCTCTTCGGGGAGAAGGTTGTCAACCCTGTATAGAATAATTTCAAAAATTATTTCATTCTTCCCTGTCTTCTCGCTGAACTTCAAATGGGTCATAATCTTGAACTTTCTTGATGACCCTACCGTGAACTGTTACTGTTTTGTTACTGTACAGGGATGACGATGGGGTTTCTGTGAGGGTTGGGTTTTTGGTGTCTTTCCCCCCCCCCAGATTTGCTTTAACACTGTAGGCTTTTACTTCATGTGTCTGTGCCTGCCACTCACTAGTGGACCCTTATCCCCTGCTCTGAATCTGTGACTTGCGACTCCGTGTGTCTGTGAGTTAAGGAATGAGATAACCAGGCTTTTCGGAATTAACTGTTGAAAGAGTAAGGTCCAGAGGGAGTGGCTGCGAGGCTCCTCTGTAAGTAAAACACAGGAGCTTTCTGCTTGTAAGGAATTGAGACAAGCAGTTTGGCTCCTCAGAGGCATTCCGAGTGGATCCTTGTTGATTGCAGTCAGCCGAGATTGTGGCTGAGGGACAGGCTTGGGATAAGGGAGGGATTGCTGTCTAAGCCTGTATCATGTACTGTTGCATAAGCCTGGGTTTTTACAGCTGGGGACGTTGCTGTGAACCAGGTTTGGAAACTTTTCACCTTATTCTGAATTTAGGACTTCGACACACAGACTCAGGTAGAAAGTGAACTCCCAGTTCCCTGTGGACAGTCACCTTTACACTTTAACACTCTGCACCCTGGCTTTCTGCCAAAATATTTCTTTTCCCAGTGGCTGGAAACTGATTAGCTAGATGGGAGAACAAAGGTGCCTTTGTGCTGGGGCATATGGCTTTTGAGAATTTAGCAGAGAGCATTCAAACAGTCTGGATGCGATGCCAAATTATGCAGATTTGGGTTTGTTGTTGTTGTTGTTGTTGTTTTGGTCAGGTTTCCCATGTAGGCAACTTAATTTTGTTCTCAAGTGTGTATGGTCTGGAATTTTCCTTATAAATCTTATGTGGGTTTTCTTAATTGATTGATTCAAAAGGAAAATACATACTTCTGAGAAAACACATTCAGTAGAAGACTATCGTTGATAGGCTTTTGGTCAAATGTTGCCAAAAAAGATTCTTGTATCAGTGAGTTAATTTCCAAAGCCAAATTATAAATAAATTTGTCTCTGTAAGAACTGGGTATATATACATACTTTATAAATGAAGAAAGAATATACCCAGAGGGGGAAAAATGCCAAAAATTAAGGTACCCCTAGTCTTGTACATTTCTCTGCAACTAGCTTTTGAAGAATGTTGAAGCAGCACGAGAAGAAAAAGTTCTCCGTACTCAGACACACACCTGACACTTAATACTCATTCTGTGAATGTGTAAGGTATTGGCCTAGTAAGAAAATTAAGGTCCAGTCTTTTCTCTGTATTTTGTACTCTTAATCATTATTTTGTACCCTTAATTTCCTGGTTTTTATAGAGTAAAGATGATAATATCTATTAATAGAGTGTGAGAGTCAAGGAAAAGAATATAAACTGAACCCTGTACAATCACAGTATGGTCATCGTACTACTTATTCTGGAGCAGTAGCAGAGACTAGGATTTTGAACCAGTTCTTTGAGGGAGGAGGGGGTTTTGTCTCCTTTGTTCTTAGGAAATACATTTTTTATCCTTGAAGATTCTGACTTTTTAGTTTCTCCTCTTTTGTTATTTTTGAAACATGATTTCAAGTTTTGCACCTGATGTTAATTTCATTTTTTTTTTTTTTACCTCATTCTCTAATGAGGTGTTCTGTTTGTAGGTATTTTCCTTCAGCAGTATGATTTCAGAAGGTGGATCTGGTTTTAGGTGCCCTGTTTTCCCTTAGTTTACATCAGAGATTATAGATTGCTGGCTGGAAGCATGTATGCAACCCTCGCTTGTTGTTTGACCCAAACTGGTTTTTGTTGTTATTTAATTAGGAGTCAGCATTTAAAAACGAGAAAATTTTTACTTAAAAAACAGGGCTCCGTGGCCAATGGGATTTGGCCACACAGATTCCTATAGTGGAAGGAAGACTGCCCGGAGCATGGCCCGCGGTGCCATTACGTGAGGCCTGAGCATGCCAGTTGGCCAGTCCTCCCACTACCGTGTTGTCTGCGGTACCACCGCCGAGAAAGGGCCCTCTGCACTTCTTTGTTTTTCACACAGTGAAGGAAGAAGTGAAATCTTAGATGTCAGCGTCTTTTCAAAAGTGGGGAAATGGAAGATTAAGAACTCCCCCGGAAAACTGAGGGAGAATGTTCATTCGCAGAAGACCAGAATTCCTAAGTTGTAGATACACATTCATCTAATTTACATTATCATTTCATGCATGCTGTCTGTTTCATTTAATTGCATTATCTGCCTCACCAGCCTGTAGTACAGGTTCGTTCCCTTGATTTACCTTGGGAATCAAAAGTGTCCCATTTTATATCATTGAGTTGAGTTAAGAAATAGGCAACCTGGAGTTTCTTAACAAATGAAGGAAAGATACGTTTTAAGTAACTCATTTGAAATGATGTTTAAAAATGTGTGTGTAAGCTTATCAGAATTTCATTTTCCCCTCTTAACTGTTGTTAAGTAGTCCTTGAGCTTCACCAGATTCGACATTTGGGATTTTACGATGTGTGCTCGAGAGGGCCACCTAGTGGTTTCCTTCTGGTACAGCAGCTCTTATTACTGCGCTACATTTTGATCTGATTAGAATAAGCTAATATTTAAATTGTTTATGTACCAAATACATGTGAGTTACCTCTTCTGTATAGATTCAACTGTAGATAAAATGGGTGTTTTTACATAATTTCTATAATTATTTTGTTTTTAAACAGAAGAAGCAGACTACAGTGCCTTTGGTACAGACACACTAATAAAGAAGAAGAATGTTTTAACCAATGTATTGCGTCCTGACAACCATAGAAAAAAGCCACATATAGTCATTAGTATGCCCCAAGACTTCAGACCTGTGTCTTCTATTATAGACGTGGATATTCTCCCAGAAACACATCGTAGGGTTCGTCTTTACAAATACGGCACTGAGAAACCCTTAGGGTTCTACATCCGGGATGGCTCCAGTGTCAGGGTCACACCACATGGCTTAGAGAAGGTCCCAGGGATCTTTATATCCAGACTTGTCCCAGGAGGCCTGGCTCAAAGCACAGGACTATTAGCTGTTAATGATGAAGTTTTAGAAGTTAATGGCATAGAAGTTTCAGGGAAGAGTCTTGATCAAGTAACAGACATGATGATCGCCAACAGCCGCAACCTCATTATAACAGTGAGACCAGCAAACCAGAGGAATAATGTTGTTCGGAACAGTCGGACTTCTGGCAGCTCTGGCCAGTCCACAGATAACAGCCTCCTGGGCTATCCCCAGCAGGTAGAACCGAGCTTTGAGCCAGAGGACGAAGACAGTGATGAAGATGACATTATTATTGAAGATAACGGAGTGCCGCAGCAGATTCCTAAAGCTGTTCCTAATACCGAGAGCCTTGAATCATTAACACAAATAGAACTCAGTTTTGAGTCTGGACAGAACGGTTTTATTCCTTCTAATGAAGTGAGCTTAGCACCTGTAGCAAGTGGCACAAATACAGAAACACATGCTCCGGATCAAAAACTCTTAGAAGAAGATGGAACGATCATAACACTATGAAACCTTTGTCTGAATGTCTTTGGAGTGAGGATGCCATTGGGACTTGTAAATTTGACTAGTTTATTAAAGCATATATACCTCTGAACCAGTGACCTGGAGTAGGCATGAGAAAAATAATATTGCAAGCTTAAAATGTTATTAAAATAGTAGTTTGATAATTGTTAATATAAACTTCGGTTTGTCAGAGGTGAGTTTAAGTCTAAAAGGGGCCTTTGCTAATGAAATTATGGCGCTTGCTATTTTGTCTCTAGAGAACTGGATGTTAGCGCACATTCTCAGAGCTATGAGAGGACCAGATCATTTCTGTTCGAAGTGGTTGCATATTTAACCTGCTGTGCAGAGCCCAGTTAGCTTTTCCTTTAACTATATTTTTTTAAATTCTAATGTGAAGAAGTCTGATCTGTCCTTTGGTAACCTTGGGGACCTCAGCTCCTATGTTCCCTATATTTTATTTTGATTTTTTAATGTTCCTCTGTTGCTAATTGTTACAGGTAATTTTTTCAGATGCTTTTTTCCCCCTCTAATAGCTAAGAAATCAATTGCCTGTTTTGGGGAGTTGCTTCCTGAATTAAGAAACTGTAACAGTTGTTCAAGTTCAAAGCTTGTTCATCCTATAGCTTTCACATTTACAGACTCATTCCATACGCATGTAACTTAATGTTGCAAAAGGCAGTTCCATCAGCTCGTAATACGTGAGACTCCCTTAATCTCTCACCCGCACTCCCATCTCATTGGAAATCATTCCTTTTGTTGTTGGTTTGCGTTTTGTTGGTGTGCTTTTATATTCTGCTATTATATTTGAGTAGTAGGAGTCATTTTGGATTAAAAAATGCACCCAAATTAAGAGATTTTTACACACAGGACAAACTTGTGCACTTTTTTACATGAGGTAATTTGGTTTTTCCTTAATGGGATTTCTAGGAACACTGCCTACACTTTATGAAAAAATATAGAGTATTCACCTTGGACAGGTAGAGTTTATTGCTATAAATTTTATGAGGCTATTTATTACTTTCCAATGCATCCACTTAGAACAAGTGAAGGGTAAGGCTGCTGACTTCCATTCCTCGCCTGATTTCCCTGTACAACGTGCACGGGCACTGTAGTAGGCCTGTATATAGAAACCCAGGATCGCGTGAAGCACATAAGTTCCTTGTGGCTTATGGCTATTTCTCTCAGAGTTATTTATTAATTTTATGGTAGGGCTAGAATGGGTACCTTTGTAACACTTGCGTGCTATAGAAACAATGAAGAATTAAGTGACTCCGTTTTGAAGGATATTTTCGCTCTATGGTAAAGATATATGAAGAAGTCTTGGACTGAAGGAAGGTCACTTGACTCAGAATACTTAACGTATTTTGCTCACTTTACCACTAAACAGATTTTCACTGAACTATTAACTGCACAACATTATGTAATGCAATGTACTTTTTTGTTGAATTCACCCAAGTTCTTCCACTTCTATACCACTATTTGTTAAATGGCATTCCAGCTTTAACCTTCGGTGAGGTAGAGATTTGACTCTAGGATGGCAAAATGTTAACATGTAGGTTAAATATCATTTATATTATAAGTGGTGCAGGGGTTCAACATTTTAAGTAAAAATCCTTTCACGCACTACCTCTCTCTCTCTCTCTCTCTCTCTTTTTTAACAAAGTTTTAACATCCGAAATTTTCTCTTGGGGGAAAAATACTTCAGGGCTTGACTTTTTGTACAAATTTTAACTATAAAGTACAGATTGTCTTGTATGTACTCATAAAAATGGGCATCAAAGCTGCTAGTGCTTTTTATTTTAATTATCCTGCTAAGGGTATATGTCAGTGGTGTTAAAACTAGATTTCTCATTTAAATTATTGGTGAAATAATTGATTACTAGACGTATTGTAAAACCAATAGATCTTGGTTATACAATAAAATGTCAGTTCATTGGTAGTCTGACTCAGTTATTCCAAGTGTACCTTATTAAAAGAAATATCAGTGGATTCAGCATAAAATTTTATAGTACTAAATGTCAAGCCTAACTGTGAATTTTGTTCTGTATCTTGAGTAAATTTACGATAATGTTCTCATGAGCTATCAACAAAATACATGTACGTTTGTGAACTATGAATTTTCTAATTAAATTTTACATGTGACAACATGATTTTTACATGAATGATACTTTGTTTAAACTATCAAATGTCAGTATTTTACTACAATTTTATTATAAAATGTACATTATCACTAAATGAACTTCGATTCTAAAAATCAAATTAGCTTTAGTTGTATATTATTTTTTACAAATAAAGATAGACTTGTATAAAGGCTACTTTCTTGTTTGCAAGTATATGAAAAGTCACCCGACAAATATTTACCAATCACCCATGATACAAAATGAGTAGGAAGAAAATTGCTAAGTTATAACAATATCCTGGCTTCCTTAACTTTTTAATTTTTAAAAGATAAACACCAAATTCTGTATGCATTGACTGCAACTCTGTATGAGCATATGATTATGTACAGGAAGATAGCATTTAAATGTAGTCATTCTGATTGTGTGAGAGGTTATGTGATACTCATGCAGAGTTCATTTGCAGTAAAATGATTTGCAACACGACAGTAGTTTGTAATGGCACCATTTATCTTCTGAGATTCAAATTCACTTAGTCCTCTTTATTACCACCCTGTGTGGCATTACCCGTACAGATTGGGTTCAGTTTATACTGGACGAAGGAAAAGCCCTGAGATAGATCAGACGCTCCTACTGAGCTATTTCTAATCCCAAATTCATCACTGTCATTGGCTTAGCTGATCTCTGCACTAACTCTGTCAACCAGGGTGGAGGATAATCCTGATGCCTTCCTCAAATTTAAAAACATTGAAAATCCTCAGAGTAAAAATTCAACGTCATCCACATAGAACTCTTCACATCACTGATTGGTACAGATTATGTTGCATTCAGTACCTGATACTTATCTCTGGGTTTCAGGATCCATGAAACAATGGTATGGAACTAAAACATTCCATTCACCCCTCAATGGGGTTTATCTGTTCAGATTCAAGTTAACGCGTTTGGGCAAGAATACCACATATATGATGTTACATCTTCCTTGTACCGTGTCAGGGCACAGCATGTTGGTTTATTTCAACACTGCTGATGTAAAAACACTTCAAAAAAGTTTTTTTTAAGTTTGTTTTTATTAGCTCGAGAGAGCAAGCGGGGGAGGGGGGAGCAGAGGGAGAGGAAGAAGCAGACTCGATGCTGAGCACACAGCCTGATGCGGGGCTCGATCCCACGACCCCGAGATCATGACCTGAGCCAAAATCAAGAGTTGGACCCTTAACTGAGCCACTCAGTCTCCCCAAAACATTTTTTAAAGAAGATTTTTTTTTTTATTTGGGAGAGCAGAGCAAGTAGGAGAGAACACGGGGTGGGGGCAGAGGGCAGAGGGAGAAGCAGGCTCCCCACTGATCAGGGATGACCCTGGGATCATAACCTGAGCCAAAGGCAGACGCTTAACCGAGTGAGCCACCCAGACGCCCCGCACATTTTTTCTTAAGTTGATTTTTTTTTTTTTTTTTTAGTAATCTCCACCCGACATGGAGCTCGAACTCATGACCCCCAGATTGAGTCTCATGCTCTTCCGACTGAGCTAGCCAGGTGCCCTGTAACACTCGCTAGTGGGGGCAACTGCTTTCTTTTTTTTTTTTTTTAACTTTTTTATTGTTATGTTAATCACCATATATTACATCATTAGTTTTTGATG